CCCGGTTGGTGCCACCAACCGGGACCAAAGGCCCTCCTGCCTGGGCTCGGCGCACCGGCCACGTGGAGGCACATCTGTCCCGGTTCGTGTTAGAACCGGGACTAAAGGGGGGAGGCATTAGTAACGACCCTTTAGTCCCGGTTCAAGAACCCGGACTAAAGGCCCTTACGAACCGGGACAAATGCCTCCTTTTCTACTAGTGTATGCACACTTGATACAACCCGACTTCCGATGCCTTATCTTCAACTACTCATCTAAAAACCCGGCTTCCAATGGATTTATTTAATTGATCCTTTTTTTCTTTATGATTTATCGTAACAATCAACTTGCACGCCATAGAATATGGTCATTGTTATAGTTTGCCGATTGTGATGTGATCGCTTTGGGGCTTTTTTCTTTTTCCCTCGCCTATGCATAGCTTTGACTTTGCTATTTGTCGGCGTGTTTCTGTGTGCGTGCGTTCGTGTTGGCTGTGTGCATCCTAGCTATGCAGAGGCCGGATGTGTGCTTATTGTGTTTGTATCTTCTTGATGCTTCATTTTGAGTCAATAAAATCCACCCTTTATCGAAAAAAATGAATTTGCTACCGGCTATGAAAGTAAGGCATCGGAAGTCGGGTTGTAAACTCATTGGGGTCATGTCCTATCTTCAATGCTCTCATGGGTTTCAGATGGAGCTAGTACAGGTCATATCCATCATATTACAGTCCCAACAGTCCATAATCAAGTTGCCATTAGAAATAATAGGAGTACATCATATATGCACACTTGATGCAACCCGACTTCCGATGTCTTATCTTCAACTAGCCATTCAAAAACCCCGCTTCTGATGGATGTATTTAATCGATCCTTTTTTTCTTCTTCAAGATTTAGCGTAGCAATCAACTTGGTTATGGATGCACGCCATAGAATATGGAAGGACCAAGTAAATAAATCCGTAGGATCGAAGTCCTTTTCTAAAATGGAGCAAACTCATCTGTTATGTGTACATGTCCCCCATTTTCATTCTTGATTTAGCAACAAATGACAGCTTTCCCATTGTTTCTTCAATTTCTTTTTTCCGTCTGAAAACGTATTCTGCCCCTAAGTCAAGTCAAGATGAAATAAGGTGTCATTGGCAGCACGCTATTTTGTTTTTCATATAGGCTCCGCTCATAGCACAAAAAACGACGTATATTTTGACAAAAGATTTCAAGTGCATGCATGTAGGTATAGTACGCCAAAATATGCTTTGCTGTCCCCACAGCCCAATCAAGTTGCTATTAGAGATAATAGGAGTGCATAGTATATATGCACACTTGCTGCGGTTGTTGTCTTGATTTAGAAACCCGGTTTCTGATGGATGCATTTAATTTATCTTTTTTTTCCTTCTGTGATTGATCATTGCCATTAACTTGTACGCCTTAGAATATGGAATGACCAAATAAACAAAAAACATAGGGTCCATTTTTGAAATGAAGTAAACTCATCTGCCGTGTGTATGTGTCCTTCAGTCATCATTTTTGTATGTCAACTTGGTTATCGGGTTTTGGACTGGAATACGCTGGCTCACATGTACATGTACGAGATCGTAGATTTGAGACCCATGTGAGAGAGCGTTGAAAATAGATGCATACGCTCCATCCCTCCATTCGTCTTCTACCTCTCTCAAGCTTTCCCTCCCGGACCAAACCATTTTGCTGTGGTTCTGCTTTGCTACCATAAGCTAAATTATCTACCTTCATATCTGGCAGCTTATGTTAACCTGCTCAGTCACAGGTATGCATTCATACATTAACCCGCGTACTGTATATCGTGACATTTTAGTTGTGTATATGGAGATATAGTTACGCTTCTTGCTTGCAGGTTGGCGCATCAATGGATGGAGCTGTAGCGCCGTTGCCATCTTGGCTGGAACTGTGGAATGAGTGGGAGATCCAAACTGTTGTTGCTGCCAGCTTCAGTCTGCAGGTTATCCTCTTCTTCTTTGCTCGGATCCGCCGCTACAATGTATCATCTGTTCTCAGGGTCCTCCTCTGGCTGGTATATCTGCTTGCTGATGTCGTTGCAACATACGCCCTGGGGCACATGTCCTCGTCATTGTCGAAAAAATCATCCAGCGAGCACCAGCTGGTGGCGTTCTGGGCGCCGTTTCTCCTGCTGCACCTCGGCGGCCAGGACACCATCACCGCGTACGCCCTGGAGGACAATGAACTCTGGCTGCGTCACCTGCTAAACATGTTTGTGCAGGTTGCTTGTACTGCATATGTGCTCTACAAGTACATCGTTGCGGGTGGGGTGACCTTTGTCCATACCGCTATGCTTGTTTTTGCCGCCGGAGTTTTCAAGTATAGCGAGAGGATATGGGCGCTGAAGCTTGCAAGCAAGGGTGGTTCCCCTTACATAGGAAGGCGAAAGCGACGACTTCATACTTTTCGCCGGTGGATTTATCGTATTCGTCATAAGTATTTCACAAAGAAGCATGTTGACGTCCGCGCATATGAGCCTAGTGACACCCTCACAAAAAAGCCTAGTGACACCAACACCAGGAGCACATTTGCCCAAGCAATGAAAAGAGCCCGAAGAGCAAAGATGGTGCTGTCGATTCCGCATCTGAAGAGTCCGTGGGTAGAAAAAACGGTCGAAATAGAAGAAGGGGAAGAAGGAGACTGCTTCACCAAAAACAAACAATTTAGAACTGATGTATTTATTGTGATGACAGCACACGTGTTGCGCCAAGTACTTGTCAAGCCTTTAATCATAGACAGGAATGAGGCGTCCATAGATTGGGATAATCACCGCATTGCCCTACTAAAGAAGGGTCTTGCACGAGAACATCAATGGGAAAGCGACCAGAGCAAAGATGCATTGGCAAAGGAGAAGAGTCATATTGGGGAGATGTTCAAGAAAATAGAGGTGCAGCTCGCCCTGATGTACGACATGATGTACACCAAGGCAGAAGTGATCCACACAGGGTATGGCCACTGCATCCGTGCCATTTCACTTGTCTCTTGCTTCGCCACTCTTGTGGTCTTCACAAAAAGCAAGAGAGACTGGTACAGCACACCCGACATTGTTATCACTTTTGCTCTTCTGGGCGGAGCTTGTGCACTAGAGATGGCATCCATTTTGAAGGCGATTGGATCGACCTGGACATGTGCCAGCTTGAGACGCGGCAAGTGGAAGTGGCTGGCCAATGCAGTTCTTTTCGCACGTTACCACATCCTCGTGGTCAAGGATGGAAGGTGGTCCAATTCCGTCGGGCAATTTGACTTCATATCCTTCTGTGTTCACAGCAGAAAGATGGACCTCAAGGTTAGAATGGCCCGCTTGATTGGTCTCCGGGACTTGTGGCACAAAGTTCGCTGCACCAAACATGCCAAGCTTTCTCCTGCCGTGAAGGAGTTTGTATGGGGCTTGCTCCGAGGTGACAAGAGTCATATGGTACGAATTGAAGAAGTGGACATCCGGAGTGGGAACTGGGCTCGCAGGTTCAGCGGCGTCGCCCAGATCAAACAGCTTGATTGGAGCCTGAGTTATGGATTTCACAAGAGTGTGCTTATTTGGCATATAGCAACAAGCACCTTCCTCAATAACCCTGCCGTCAAATCGAAGCTGGTCGACAAGGACATGGCTGAAGCAGTGAATACTCTCTCTGATTACATGATGTACCTCCTCATCGAGCACCGTGACATTCTGCCCATCAAAGCAGCTGCTAAGGACATGTTCGAGGAAACCGGCCTCTGTTACGGTTTGCATATGGAAGGCTTGAGCAGACCTGTTTATTCTTTTGAAAAGGAGGAAGGCTTGAACAGACCTATTTTTTCTTTTGAAGAGGATTACCCCCGGCCTCTACATCAGAGCGATGCATGCCGCCATCCAGAACCTAATGTGGTTGATTCTCACCAGGTAATTCTGGACTACAATAAAGGGAGCAGGCATCTTAAGGACGAACCAGATGGTGTCCTCGCGGAACGTCTTAAGTATATAGAAGAACTATATGGTGACTTGACGCATCCCAGTTGGGATGATCACCGGGGGGACGCTGTGCTGGTGAAAGCATGCACCCTTGCTCATGCAATGCTCAACATGGAGCTGGAGTTGGGTCTCGCACACATGATGCCGATAATTGGAACAGTGTGGGTGGAGATGTTGTGCCACGCAGCAACCAATGCATCCGGGGGATTCCACGCCAGGCAGTTGAGCAATGGTGGCGAGTTTCTTACCCACATCCTGCTCCTCACTAAATATTCCTATGCTATAAACAAGAAACCAGCAAAGCCGTACATAAAACCTGATGAAGCTGTGGAAGCTAGTGCTTCTGGGAACGTCGTAATAAATGTGGATGATGGCTGCAACGATGAGATCACCGAAATCCACCCAATATAGCAGGTCAACAATCTGCAAACCTGTTCTCCTCCGAATCCATCATATGCAATTCCATTGTAATAGTATGTTATTCGTTGAATTTTGTATCCATTTCGACTCTAGCCTTACTGCGGCTGCTGAAGCATGTAACCTCATCTCTTTTGCCAATTTGTAAGTCCCACCCAAACTATTAGTATGATACTGGTTTTGATTTTCACTAGCTAGCCGCGTCATGTGTAAGGCAGTAAAAGCTCTAATGGTTATGTTTGCTTTCATTCTGCACCCGTGTAAAATTCCTTCCAAAATCAGCATCTTTATGCGGCTGTACGGAGAGTGATTAACTCTGCCTTTTCGTCGAGAACTTTGTCTAGAAATGGAGATGAATTGTTTGTTGCATGGGGATGAAACTTTGCTGGGGTTGGTTTCTGTGTGGATTGCATCACTGCTTTGTATGGTGTGTTTGGGAACTGCGCATGTTTCAACTGCAAAAGCAGTTTAACTCAGCCCGACGAAGTGATTTTTTTTTTTCTTTGTCAGTTGAACATTGCGATCTTGGGCTGTAATTGTACTGTAAGATCGGAGGTGCTGGCCTGATGTAGCAAGTTGCACAGGAAGTCTTCAGCTTGGAGAAAAGGGTGGAGGCCAACAGCACCCAGACTGCAGTGGATGCCGCCATAGCTCTAGTTCGGTGTTTTGGCAATCTGTTTCTGTTTTGTTGATGTTGTTTTTCTGTTTGTTTGTTTTTTTACCCGAATTTAATTTTATTTTTTTTTAAAAGCAAAAGAAAACTGCACCCGTGTAGAAAATGTAAACCGGCCGTGCAAAGTGTCACTAATTATCCGTAATAATCAGTTTCTGTCCAAACTTTGGGCTGCTTGTTGGTTCTTTCATGATCTCAACCGAATTCAATCACATGTTTTAGTTGGATTCTTCGTTATTTGATTCTTGGGTAAATGAGTGCCAAAAACATTCCAGCTTCTACACGGGTGGATCGTCCAGTACCAACTCTCTCTTTTGGGGGCATCGTCCTGGAGGTGGATCCGGTCAGAGGGATTCGTGGCCATTGGAGTCAGAGCTGTGCTGCCTTGTACTGGGTGGATGGCGTTCCGTGGAGTGTAGTGTTGTTCAGCAACCAATAGGGTTGCTGTTTTTCTTTTTCTTTGATCTTTGGATCTTCATCATGTTATGTTTCCATTGCTTCCTGCTAAATCTGAATCAAGCCAGCAATTTGCTGGATCTTTCAAAAAAAAAAGTTAAAGCTCTATCCCCGGAGCATTACTTCACGGCAAATCCTATGTGGGCCAATACTGCATCAACTAGTCGTCGCGTTGCACAGACGCGATCAAGCTGGGATAGCCGTTCAAGTCCCCTTTTTTTCGTTTTTCTATTCCAGTTTTTTCTTTTATTGGTTCTTTTTGTTTCTAATTTAAAAGTTCCCTATTTAAGAAAACAAATTTTGTAAATTCAAAAAGTGTTCAGTATTTTCAATAAAATAATTGCTTTTCAAATATTGTTTGGAATTTCAAAAAATGATCAAATTTTCAAAAATAATTCAAAAAAGGCACCGTTTCAAAATTTACTCAAAATCTAGGTATGTTTGAAAATTTAAAAAACATGCTTTAAAATTATGTTTGTAAATTTGAAGTTTTTTGTTTAAAAATGTTCAATTGTTTTCAAAAATGTTAATGTTCATATTTCTAAAATACTCAAATTAGTTATTTTTGCTTTTTTAAATGTGTTCTTATAAAATTATTATTTTTCAAAAAAAAATCATACATCTATTAAAAAAATTAACAACATTTTGTGTTTCCGATAAACCGATGAAATAAACCTTAAAGAAGCCACTGCAATAGCCAAGCTGCTGCATTGCAGTGATGGCGGCAATTCGACGCTTAATGTGAACCACCCTGTGGTTGGATGGTTAGCAGGATAGTGTGATCCACAGCCCACAGGTTCCAAGTCCTAGACTTGACATTGGTGCTCATATGTTCCTTGATTTATTTCATGCATTTTGATGATGTGTGTCCAGGCCCCTTTGTTTGAGCTACAGATTCCCAAAAATCACTTTACCTGTGGATTCCTTGAAATCAGTTTGCGTAAGAAGCTGGCTGTTTCACATTACCTGTGGATTCCTTGAAATCACTTTACCTGTGGATTCCTCCACCCCTCTACTACTAGACATATGTAGGAACTGTAAATGTTGTGAAATGTCTATAATGCCTCTCAACGTAGAGTTTGCAAATGAACAAATAGATCTTTTATGCTACTGGCCAAATCCTGAATCTCTTCGGATACATCGGCCAGTTGAGTTTGGGGCCTTGCGGCTAGACCTCCAGCGCTGCACATGTGGATGTGGTGACGGCCCAGCTGGACCGTCCATGCGGCACAGGGGGAGCTCAGAGAGGGCGGTGCAATCGAAGTTCGGGAGCAGCGGGTAACAACCTGGAGGTAGGGGAGGGACGTGTCGTGGTGGCCCGAAGGTTAGGGAGGGGTGGAGGCGCTCAGATCCGACGGCTTGGGTGGAGCTTGGGGGCGGCGGGTAACAGAGGTTGGGGATAGACAACCGGAGTTCGGGCAGAGGTGGAGGTGACTCAAGGCGACCGGATCCGCCAGGAGCCAATATGGCGACATTGGTTTAGCCACCGGAAGGGCCTAGGAGAAGAATACTATGGTGTTGGAAATCTGTTGGGAGGGTGGCATTTCGCGTGTAATAACAGGGACAAATCTGGGTAGCCTGGAAGTTGGATAAGCGGAAGCTAGGGAATCACCGAAACCGCAACTTCTGGCCCGTGCTGCCTCTCACACTACTAGAATCTGGCATTTTGCCGTCTGCCACCTCTTTGCCATCTGCCAGCTGACGGTAAAGAAAGTGCAGATGGCAAAAATGCTATTTGCCGTCAGCCAGCTGACGGCGAAGAGATAGAAGGCAGACGACAAAGAGCCAGGTGGGCCCCACAGGGCAAGGCGTGGCTAGGTCAGATTCTTTGCCGACTGCTAGCGGACGCCAGACGACAATGTTACTCCTTTGTCGTCCGCTTGCAGACGGCAAAGAGGAGGCATGGGCCATCCCTAACGGTCGCCCTCTTTGCCGTCTGCTAGCAGACGACAAAGAAGGCCCACTTAACGGGCCGAGCCGTCTCCCCTCTTCTCTTTCTCTCTCTCCCTCCCGCGTGCCCGCCTCTTTCCTCTGTCGCCGCCGCCGGCCAGCCCCGCCCCCCATACCCAGCCCCCACCACCGGCCAGCCCCGCCGCTGTCCAGCCCTCCTGCCCCGCCGCCGTTCTCCTCCCCGCGGCCCCTGCGCCGCCCAGCCGCCCCGTCACCGGAGAGGCCTGTGCCAGGAGAGATGCAACACTTGAGGCCATGAATGAGATGGTAGAGAAGAAAGCAGATGAGGCAGAAGCAAAAAGGCAAGAAATTGCGAGGAAATCAGAGAAGTCAAAAAGAAGAAGAAGAAGAGCAGCACAAGAGAAGAAAGTTGTGGAATCTGCAGCAAGGCTGGAAGCTGCAGCAGCAAGAAAAGCTGCATTGCAAGAGAGAAGGAGGCCAGAGCCCTTGAAGCAATGGCAGCTAAAGCAGAGGCAACACTGAAGAGAAAAGAAGATCAAGAAGCAAAGAGAACTATGGCAGCACTAAAGAGAAAAGAAGATCAGGAAGCAAGGAGGAAACAACAAGAAGAGGCCAAGAGAATAAGAGCTGAGCAGAGGAAGCAACCAGGGCCAAGTGGACATGTGCCCAAGAAGCTGAAGAGAGTGAACATGTTTGATTAGTTTAGATGATTCGCTGCTATTGCAGTTGTAATTTTTTGGCAAAAACTACAATGAGACTCTTTCAAACTGTTAGAGCTGAGATGATTCAGTGCTGCTACACTTGTAAATTTTTGGCAAAAACTTTAATGAGATGATTCAGTGTTGTTGCACTTGTAAACTAGGTGTGCTTATCTCTTCACAATGAGGTGAAGTCAGCAAATCACTGAATTCAAAATGAAATCTGCTAGAGTGGTTTTGTACTTATCTCTTCACTGGTTTTTATACTTAACTGCATAAAATAAAAAAATAAAAAATAAAAAATAAAAAGGGGTGGCTTGGGTCTCGAACCCAGGACCTATGGTATTGAATGTTGGGGGCAATGCCAGTGGGGTAAGTACCAGTGTTTTGATCAAAGGCAGATACTAAACTAACTATTTAGGAGTTGCTAGTGGCTAAATGGCCCATGTCTTTTCGGTTTCCTTCTCTTCTCTTTAAGCCCACCCACCCACCGCTCCACTCGCCACTCACATCCAGTCCATAGCCCACCCACGTCGCCTCGGTTACCCCGCTTCCAAACCCCCACTCCGCCCTCACAGCCGACCACCACACCGCCGCCGCCGACATGGAGAACAGCCCCGCCTGGCAGAGGGTCATCGATGACCTCGCAGGCGACGACAAGGCGATGTGTGCGGACCTGATGGAGATCGGGAAGTGGTTCCCGAGCATTGCAATGCTGCGTAACCACGCGCGTGGCCTCCTCAAGGTCATGACCGATGACGAGATGGACCGCACCTGCACCAACCGCTTCGGTATCCCTCCTGCTCTCGTCCTCCGCTTCGCGATGCAAGAGACGTGCTCCGACGACCCGGGCCAGCGAGCCAGGTGGTGGAGATACCGGTCCGCCACCGTGCCGCGACAGCCGGATCCGTCGCGCGCTGGCTCGCGAGTGGAGCGCGTCCACAATGTCGAGGTGGCCGTCCCCGCGCCTGTCAACACGGCCTACTGGGACCACTACCAGCCCGACATCCTTGGGCGTGACGACGTCTCCGATTATATCTCGTCTGACTCAGAGTACGACTCTGGCTCCGACGACGACTCTGGCTACGTCACCGACTCGTCCTGGTCGACTGGCTGGGAGGAGCCGGAGGTCCAGATGGCGGCGCCCGTCATCCCCGAACCGAAGGTCCAGATGGTGGCGCCTGTCGCTAGGGAGGGTGACAAGCACTGCCCCATTAATGTCGAGCTACTTCCTGATGTTCCTGACATCGTCAAGC